TCCATGGGGTGGCGTTAGTGACGCTTTGCATCACGGGTGCTTTAAATTGTTTCAGATATTGGACAATAATTAAATAATAATGCGTGGCCGCATTCTCCAAGAATCGAGTATATTTGCCGTTGGTGGCGTACTCGTGTAGCCATGATGCGTTGGCTGGTTCCCGCCTCAAGTGTCATGGCGTACCAAGCCACAAGTTGCCATTCGCAAAGGACGCCGGGAACCAGCGAACCATGATGCGCGGCATTCCGTGATACTTGAATAATATTAAACTACAACATTCTTCGCAATAAACTGTTCTTGTCATGGCGCGAGTGGTCAATGTGCTGTCACGTGAACATAATAACTAATTTGTACAACGGGCCAATCAAATCACTGCTATGAATACACGTAGTGCAATTTGTAGTCAATTTGTCGCACATTCTGTATTTTGATCTCATATGCCTCTCCAGAACCAGGTTACGGCATAGACCCACGGAAACTCTAGAGTGCCCATTGACCGATCCATGGAAGCCATGGTACAATGCAATATCTCATATGCGGGAGTCCTGGTCACGTGATGGTCATGTTGAAATTAATTAATCTGTTTTTTTAAATTAGTGTAATAATTTGTCATCAACGTTTTACAAGCGCTGAATGAAAGAAAATTGCATGGTATCCTCGGGGGCGAAGCTACGTCACAAGACGTTCCACGTTGCTAAGACGCGCACCACTGTACATGTATTTCTATGGGCATAAATAAATAAACGCTGCTCGGACTGATAAGTATGATATATTGAAGATAATATTTGGTAATCGTAGTCCTAAATAACTATTAAAAATAGCTAGACGTTTCGAGCAATGGCTCTTTATCGATAGCATAGATGCAAGTGTGAAATACGTTAACACCAATACGTTAACACGTTACTTCAAACGTATTCGTATTCATAGCAGTGATTTGATTGGCCCGTTGTACAAATTAGTTATTATGTTCACGTGACAGCACATTGACCACTCGCGCCATGACAAGAACAGTTTATTGCGAAGAATGTTGTAGTTTAATATTATTCAAGTATCACGGAATGCCGCGCATCATGGTTCGCTGGTTCCCGGCGTCCTTTGCGAATGGCAACTTGTGGCTTGGTACGCCATGACACTTGAGGCGGGAACCACCAACGCATCATGGCTACCGAAGTACGCCACCAACGGCAAA